ACGTAACAGTAGGTTTCAATACTGTGTTCACATGATGGAATTGTTACATTAACCATTTCCATGCAATCACCACATGGCAAGTTAAAGTGGCAAGGTTTTTTACATGCATGACCACCCTTACAGATCATTTGGCATAAATGTTGGCATCGAACCTCTTGGCACACTCGGCCGCAAACAGATGAGCACTTATGACCGCAGTTCAGCTGCCTTTGACAAGGTGCGTTACAGAAAACTTTTATTGGATTCATATGGCAAGGAGCCATTTGTTGGTGGCCGCATGGAAGACACTTGGAGACAGCGCTTTCACATTTTTTCGTTCCACATTTCTCGTAACATTCGCCTGGACAAATATGTCCACAGTCCAGTTCCCTTTCACATCTCTCAAAGCACAGCTGAGGGTTTTCTTTATCGCGGCATAAAATTATCTTTCGATGCCCACACTTCAATTTAACTCTAATGCTGCTGTTACATCGACAGTTATCGGTGCATCGCATTGAACATGGGTGGCCACAGTCTAGAACTTTTGGACAGCTAACGTCGCATTTTCTGTGTTCCATGGGGTTTTTAAAACATGCCATCATCTTTTCGTGCTCACATGGAAGGATTTTCTTGCACTGAACGAGACATTTTTGTGTACATGAAATAGCTCCACATGAATCCGCGCATTTGTGGCCACACTGGAGGAGTTTCTCGCATTGGGCTCGACAAAAAAATTTTGACGGGTCAGTAGAGCACGGAACTTGTTGTTCGTGACCACATCTAGGTATTGTCTTTGACATAGGCGCAACACATTTTGGACATTCTACATGAGAATGACAGACAAGTCGACACTGATGTCCATTGGAACACGGTTTGGAACATCTTTTCAAGCACTTGAATTTCTGGTGAAGTGGGTCGCGAACATGACATAGGCTTTCACAGGCATGCCCACAATTAAGGCGGTCTCCACAAATCTCCTTGCATCCTCCAAGTCTGTTGAAATCTTTTCCCGATTGTACATTGAACACATTGCTGTGCCTCTTGCAAACAAGCTGCAGGTTCTCGCCGATTGAATTTCGCGCTTGAAGATAATTGCATATATCCCTCCACAGCTTGCACTGTGTTTTCAATAGCTGGAAATTTCCAATACAGTAAAATCCTTCGCGAGCTCTTGACAATGCAACACAGATTCTGTTCGACTCACCCAGAAAACCAATTTTGCTTTCTGAATTGCTCCTCACTAGCGACAGAAGAATGATGTCACTCTCTTCACCTTGAAAATTGTCAACGGCACACACTCGTATTCCCCCAAATAATCGTCTCGGCATTTTCTCTTGAAGAAGTAACAACTGGCCAGTGTACATGGTGAGAATTGTAATTTGGTTTGGTTTGTATCCTTGAAGCAGAAGGTAATTGCAGAGTTCTACCAGGAAGTCTGCTTCGTAAGGGTTGGAGTAACTTTGTAAGCCACCCTCCAGGTTCTCAGGTTGGCGATGATCGATGAAGAAGAGGTTACTTGTTACACCTGTGATATTTTCAAAGTTGTATACAGATTCGTGGTCAATGATCTCATGCTCATAGATTCTTTTGGTCAGTGCGGCAATCTCTGGGCGCATGCGATGCTGTATACTTAGGCGTTTGCATTCCATGCGGTTCATAACCATTCTTTCGAACAAGGAAATTTCCAGGTTATATTTCTGGGCCAGTTCATAGACTGTTGCTTTTGGACGGAGTTGCTTGTGATCTCCAATAAGAATCGTGTGTTTTGTGTTGTGCGAAAGAGACGTGATGATGTGGGCTTCCATTACCTCGGCTGCTTCTTCGATGATAACAATTTTAGGGGCTACACTCTGAAGCACTGAGTGATACCTTGCTGCACCACTAGTTGTCATGCCAACAACAGTTGCACGACGTATTACCTCTTCCTCTTCTTGAAATCTGACAGCATCTAGCTCGTGGCAAAGTTGTTCGTATTCCCTTTCACATCTCTGGATTTCAACTCTATACCGTTCACGGTAGCTCTCCACCCAGAAAAGATACAATCGAAGTCGTTTAGAGGGCGATAACAACCAAATGTCCTTGACACTCGTTGCCTCTTCATAAGACATTGTTGCTTTTAATTCTTTCTCCAGCTTCCCTTTTAAATCTTCAATATTCGCTGTGAGATGAATTTTTTTGTTTTTCTTCTTTTGCTTCTTTTTCTTCTTCTTTGATGAGGTGTTGTAGTCAGTATCGCCCTCGTCTGGAACATACAACACTTGCTCTTCCTCTAATGCATCTTCAGAGCTCTCAAGCATTCTTTGCTTCCTCTGGAAACAAACTTTTCCCTTCTTTTTCTTTTTATAAACCACCACCTCCCATCCCTCTTCCTCATGTTTTCCCTCTAGCTCTGGACCTCTTTCGTCTTCTGATGCCGTCTTGACGGTAAAAGGAAGGAAATCGCCATCTCCGTGTAGACATCTTTGATACTGTATCAAATCAGCTTCCTTTTCTACTGTGATAGTCTCTTCAAAAACTTCTGAAACTTCACTAACAGTCTCAAAGTCGTTATCCTTTTCAGTTTTAGAGTCTGTTTGAGAACTGGCTTCCAAAGCAACTGATGCTGTAATCGTGGTGTCTCGATTTACGGAACTTTCTGGTGCTTCTCTTTTGGCACTTGCGAAGGATGTTTCCTGCAATTCCCTTTGATCAAGTGGGAGGTTTTTTGTCGATTTAGGATGATGTTTTGATGAATTGGATTGTTCCTCTACTAATAGAAGACGGCCGGATTCGATACCATAGGAGGTTGGCGTTACTGCAAAGGAAACTTGCCTCTGACCTACACTTGCACCTTCTAGTTCAGTATCATAACCGACTTCATCGGCGATAAATGGGGCTAATGACATCGTAGAATCATAGAATATTTCTCGGTCTTCTCCTACATTATGTTTTGGTAAAACAATTCCATTTTGTAGGCTTTCCTCTGTTACCTTTTTTATCTGATTACAGGAATTAATCTGCTCGTTGCTACATAACCAAAGTGCGAAGGTGTTTCCTGCATGTCGGGATTCTCTTGTGGCGTTGTGAGGGAAGATGGCATTGTACAGCTGTTCCACATGTCCTGTACTTAACAAGTCTTCCAAGTCGTCCAAACATAACAGTCGATCGTCTGCTTTGGCAAGCAAATCTTTGCAATGGTTCTTCGCCGATACGATGTTTTCTATTAAAGCTCTGACCTCCCCTCGCTTGTCACACTTCCTGTATTGACTGGTAAAAAGCTTCAGGTTACACCCTTCTAGTTGCTTACTTTTGCATCTCCCTCCGACACGAATGATCTCTTCCTTAGGAAGGAACTCCAATACTTTCTCCAAAAACTGATCCAAAGCGTGGTTAGTGTAACAGACCATAAGCATTGGCGAAACTTTATCTGGGTCCCAGGCCTCTCGGTTCTCAAGTAAGCATCGCACAATTTTTGCCCCGACGTACGTCTTTCCAGTTCCAGGAGGACCCTGAATTACTGAAAACTCAGTTGAAAGTGCCATTTTTAAGGCTTCAAGCTGAGAATCGTTGAGAGGAAGAGTCTCGACAGGCGGCCAAGCGTCAAGGTGTAGGACAGGAACTCTCCTTGCTTCTGTTGCGTGTGGAACATTCAGGGCCAATGTAAGATCGTAACACACCGGCTCTTGAGTATCCTCGCGTCTCAGGTACTCTGGTGGATCAACCTCCTCGCAGCTTTCAACTAGGTATTTCTTGAATGGTAAAGTGGTTTCATCTAATTCCTTCAGCCCTTTAAGAACATGACAATATGCTTCATAATAAGCTGGCGATTCAACCATTTGATAATCAAAGTTGCGGTTTTCGATCCCAAAGATGTCCTGTTCTTCTAAGAATCGAATGTCAATTTTTCCGGTTATCAGTTCCTCTGGATCTCTGTTACAAACCGTGGCGAAAAGCATGGTCTCAAAGTTGTCTTTGGAAAGGCAAAGGAATGAACCAAAGATGAGTCGTTTCGAGTGCGCCCACCTCCTGGTATTGAACCTGGAGATATCAAATTTTACTTTATAAGAAACTCCAGACGGCGTGAACGTCTTTCTGACGATTTGTGCTCCTGTATAATATCTCATTAATTGATTGCGCATTTTCCTTGGTACGTTTTGGACAATCTCGTAAATTCCTTCTCTAAGAGGCTCAAGAAAATCTTCTCTGAGCAATCGAAACTGTACATCGAGATAGTGCTCAGCATCTTCGTACCTCCCCTTAGTTATATTCTTCCGCAAGAAAGGGCGTTCTTGGGTTGTGATTTCTTTGGTACTAGGGCAAACCGGTAGGTCTCTAAAGTTGTTTGGGGGTTTTTCTCCCCCTTTGTTGATGTAGCGCTTTCCATGCTTCTGCCTGTTGGCTCTTATGATGTCATCTCTGGCTTGCTTAAATGCCTGTAACTGTCTCTGTAGTTCCTCTTTACTGATGCTGTTGGACTGATCCAATGTTCTTTTTAATTGATCGTAAGGTAGGTCAGCATACGAACTAGGCATATGTCTCAGATAATTCATGAACACTGTAATAAGCCAGTGGAAAAGTCCTCCGAGGACGTCTTGATCATTCAAAACCAATGATCCCTGCAGGCGATCTAACAACCGCGGAATCTTCGAGGTTAAGAATACTGAACCCTTTAGCGCAGCTAAAATCCTGTTGGTATTCTCACCTGTCGGTGCATTACAAGCTATTGCTAAAGTACAAATGAGATCTATAATGAACTCATCACTATTGTGCTCTTCCTCTTGTGATCTTAGAAAAAACTTAAGACCAGGCATTCTCTGATTTAAGGTATTCACCACCTCATTTGGATCCTTCTTTTTCAATGATTTTAGATCTAATGAAAAAAATTTTCCAGGGAACATTCCACGTGGATGAGACTGTGTTGTAGGCTTTGATACTATGCTGGGATCTCTTTTCATGGGTTGTGGTCTCCATGGTTGTTGTGCTTGATTTCTATCTGTATTGCAAGAAGTGAGTTTTAAGCATGACTGTTTTTGCAAGATTAATCATGCGTTTTGAATCAACCTTTCGTAGCTTTCCTTGGCGTAATCGACGTGAAATTCAACTTGTCTATGTTTTAGACTGGCATTTGTCGTAATTTTCGTCTGAAAATAAAATCAATTTCCCCAAAATGATCAAAAACGAAGCCAGAAATTTCATTAACATCGACCGAAGCAAAGCGTCGAATATCGGTCGGTCGAGAACTGTGTTATGTGGCGTGTAAAATATAGTAGAATGGAAGAATCATCTTTTTTTAGTCCCATATTTCCAACCTTTGTGTTTTAAATACTTTTATCGATGGAATAACCACAAAACGATTGTAAAATATGCCATAAAATTTCTGTTAGGAACCATGACAATTGTGGCGAACTTACGAACAGTACTGAGGCTTTTTCCTCTGACCATCCGAACTCGATTCCTTCCTTTTCCTCATCTTAACACGTTTAAATTCAGGTATAAGAATACGGTTGAAGAGGTATACAACGTTAACTCGCCTTTCGACCTCCGAGAGCGCGAGTCACATTGCAATTTGTCAACAAATGACCTTGAATATCGAAACTTAAGTCATTTCCTACTGTCTTAGCAAAAACCTCTTTTACCCACGTGACCCCCTTTTAAAATCTTCGATATATTCACCTGAACGTTTCTCTTTCCTACTCGATGACTCCGCTTGATATTCCTTAGATGCGCCTCTTCCGCGTCCACTTTGACTCTTCTTTTGTTGATTTTTCAAAGTTTGATCTGGAAAAGGAAATTTGGTTTTATTTCATCACTGAAACATTTCATAGTTTAGACGTATTGAAGGTAAGCAATCGTAATGTTGTTAAAAACGCAATAAAGAGTCACTGATTTGCCATTAATTTTGTCACCTGTGTCTTTTGTCGTGGACAGTCCAAAGATTAAAGAAAACGTCGTAACTTTTTTTCTCTCTTTAAAACGTTTTTATTAGTGAGAAGCAACTACACCAAAAATCTTCGATAAGTCCCATACCTTCTGCATATTTTGGCGGTATCGTATCGGCTGAAGGACCAGTCGCTTTATTTGGAGGCGAAAACTGCTTTCCAGTTCCTGTTTTCTTTCGTGCTCCTCCTTGATGAGCGGCAGTGTCTACAAAAACATATTAAAGATTTAGTAGTTTACTTCCAGATAGGCTGATTCCAGTTTTCCTCTCTTAAAAAACAAGCTACAGTTGCATTCATGCATTTAGATATTGTTACACGTTTGATGTTCTAACGGTTAGCTGAATACTTTACCTAACTTACTTAATAATAGGGCTGGACTATGATCAAGTCCTGGCGTTTGTAATAAATTCATTTCAATGGCTAAACTTTCTAGCTCTTATCTAACGTTTTGATTTAAACATTTAAACATACCTTTACCAGCCCCTTCTTTGCAGCGATATTGACCCTTAAATCCTTCTTTCTTATCCCTCCAATGTTTTGTTCTGATTCGGCCTCTCTGGTCTCGCTTGACGCTCTTTAAATTACCATCTGAAATCAAGATACAACACTCATTTCATGCCTGGATGACTTTCACTTGACCGTACAGAAAGCAAGTTGAGCCGAACAAAATAATCAAAGGAAATTTAAAAACTTGTTCGTAGCTATTCGCCAAACCTAATGGAAAATCGCTGATGCGATCAGCGGGTATACTTAGCTTTCAAGAAAGCAATGAATAAACAAATTAATGAACAATGTGTAGGTTTGAATGAAATGAAGCTGGCAAGAGGTTAACTACAGAAGTTTATTTATTGATTAATTAATTTATTTATTACGCTAAATGACACACGTTTATATGAAAAGTGGTGTAAGCTAAATAGTCATGAGGATAATCTGTAAAAGGGTCAAAATGCACCCGAAATAAAACTTATAATAAATCCACCTGTAAACAAAACAACAACAACAACAATCTACTTTTATTTACACAGTGGCAATTTTCTTGGCCCGCGTATGGCTTATTGTAATCTAGGCGGGCAAGTCTCCTTAAATCTAATTACAAAGATTCATTATAATGATAATAGAAAATAAATTACAATAAGAAAATAAAAAAAATAGTAAATCAAATACAAACGGGGGAAAAGAATGAGAACAAATTTACCACTACCAAATAGTATTGTTCGAGGAATTTTTTTGCGATCGATATTTCATTTTATAAAATCATTTTGGTCTGGTGTTGATAAAGCAATCTTGGGTAATCCAACCAAGATAAGACAACACATTAAAAGCAAAACTACATGTTTCTGATAAAATTTACAGAAAATAGAATTGCTTGCATAATAAAAGGCCCTCCGTTCTCGATATTAATGGACTTAACGTAAGGAAAGAGCGAATATCTAACGGGAAAGAATTCTACATTTGAACAAAGTAATTTAAAAAGTTAAATTTACAAACATTTGTCCGAGTGAAGTTCGTCTCAAATGAAAACTCATAAGGAAGACGCAAAAGTGGCAGTGCGTTTTAAAATAAGATTAAAGAACAAGGTTCAGTATCATTCTCTTTGGTTACAGGACAAAAGAACATCTTTGAAAGCTGTTGGAGGTTTCCTACCACATAAGTTTGCCAACTATGACTTGAAATGAGCGGACTGCGGTATCTTTAAATCTACCAGGGGATTTTCCTGTTATGGTTACAATCATCTTAAAAATTACCTCCTACTTCATCAGCAGACGTTCCACATGCGCCCCCATTTGGCTCACACGCAGCAGGCTCTTCTGTTACCGGCTCTGTCCTTCCTTTTGTTTCCTCAGATTCTAAACGTGTCGACAGAGGTGTCAAACAGCTATTTGTAGAAGTACATTACTTCTTTATGGGTTGGACAAAGGATTTCATTGTACAAGTTTTAGAATTTTAACTGTGTAGTCTAACATTCTTCCATTGGTGAAAGATTTGCATGTGGCTAGGCAAGAATGGGATTTACACAAGCATTATCTTTACAGCTGTGAACAAATTCACATTTTCTTACAAAATATGTTTTTTTGTTTTACGTTTTAAGTCTGTTTGACCTCATAAGATTCATAAATACGGCAATTACCTTTAGAATCATTGCGCCGTCGTCCTTTATGCCACGGCATTGTGATGAGTGAGAAGATGAAAGCTATAACTTCGTAGGTATTCAGTAAAGCATCTTATTGTGAAGATGTTATGGTCTTCGCATTTGATCCACTGTTTTTCTTTCTTGCTGTTTCTGTCGGAAGAAAAGTACGTCGGAGTACATTATGTGATGTGCACAGTTTACCCACAAATTAATTCAGAAGTGGAATTTAACAGATTCGAGAGGGAAGCAATATAGCCACCAAAGATGCTGACAATTTGGGAGGCCAGTATTAAATGATACGTACGCACTAAACGCCCCCTAAGTGTGATTAGCAACATATAAACAAGATGAGAATGTTTGATATTTCAGACTCCGTCTAAATATTGTGTGGGAACGTATGTCTCTGGAATATTTGAGAGACAATGATGACCAAAATTGGAAACAAAATCCCCCTTGAAAAGCATTTTTGAATCTAGATTTCTCCGTTGAACGCAATGAACTGTTCACATACATTCAAAGAAACTTTTACAACAAACATTAATTAGTGTTGAAAAGATTAAGCAAACAGCTCTAATAGAAAGTAAAGTAAATTCAGTTTGTATTTTGTAGGTTTAATTGTAAATTTTATGCTCAGTTCCAAATCTATATTTGATTTCGTGTTATCATATTACGAATAATGGCAGGCTTAATATTACCCTTTCTGTTTCGAGGTGCAATTCTTTTTTGATCACTCGTTTTTTTAAGTTCCTTCGGTAGCTCTGGGGTATAGATGAAAGAAAATGTCGGGTTAGGCTGTTCGGGTACTTGGACTGACACTTCGTTAATTATTATTAAAATACTGGCTGTTTCATTCAAGTGTTTCGATCTAGAAAAATCGACATAAAAGTTGAAACGTCATATGCCGCTAACTTCTATCGAAAACTTACTGGACCGACACATACTCATACACGAACATTAGAAGCGGCTATATGGTGATCTGATACGATATAAATGGAGAGAGAGTGTGTAGAAAGCTTAGAGTATAAGCTGCGTTCTGTGAATTTGGCGATTAAAGTGGCCATTTTGGTTTCGCAACAAAAAAGTCGTGCTTGGATGAATTCGGGAAATGTAATCAGGGTGAATGCTGCAGTTTATGTTAGAAGTAGTTGGTAAATATTGAGGGGCAATGGCGAAGCGACAGTGTTACGTTGTAATAAATCGGATTTCATGCCTTTTTTGTTTAACTAGCAATGGAAGAAGCAACGATTTTAGACAGAACTATTCTAAAATTATTTAACAGATAACCTCCCATTTAGGTGGGAGATTTTTGTTGATTCATGTTAACCATAAAAATTGAGCGTCGTCACTGCTGGAGGATCCTTCTCTGCCGCAAAGAAAGTGACTGAATTTCTTCTTTCATGTAAATTCTAAAGCCAACAGCTAAACGGTAAAGCTGGCAGAGTTCAAGACGAATACATTTCCCCTACCTTAACTCACTAACACATCCAGACCTGAAATTTGGCTTCCAGACCTGAAATTTGGCTTCCAGACCTGAAATTTGGCTTCCAGACCTGAAATTTGGCTTCCAGACCTGAAATTTGGCTTCCGAGAGAGCCAGTCTTGTCTTTCTACCCTATTCAGATTCTTGTGAAAAGTTTCCAATACTGCAGAGGTCTTCAAATTGTTTGTTTTCTCAAATAATAAACTTGTTGCCCTGATGTTCGAAAATTCATCTATTCATACTGAGATAAATGTATTTCTAATAAGGGGTTTTGGAAAAGGAGGAATGGACAACGGAGCGACACAGGCACTGGTCAATTTCCATCACAACATCAGTAAAACATAATGAAGTGTGAACGAAATAGATGACTTTGGAACTTAAGAATGAACATCACTTAATTTTACGAGCGGACTGAAAATGTAAAAGCAATTTGAACTGAATGATCACACTAACTTCCAATTCAGTCTTAAGGGTTTTTCGAAAACGGGTCGTCCTTAGAATAACGATGATCCGAAAACACTCCTACGCGCCACGTGACGGGATAACCTTTACAAAAAAATATGAACTTTTCAACATTAGGCTAAACAATAGGAAATACGATATATATTTGACTTGGCGGCTGCTTTGATAAATTGCTCCTTCTCGTCCCACAAAACAGTCCAATAACTATTATGATATGGTTTCCGATCGAGTGAAAAAAACTCAAACTTGTTTGTTTGGTGAAGACGTAATTGAGAGACATTTCTTCACATTTTTCGCGACCTGCTCACCTTGTGTTTCTTTTAAGTGTTTTTATTTTTAATATTCCGCGAATCCATTGACTTAATCCTTCCCATTCTGATCAATCCAGTAGATCTTTTTCCAGACGCTTTTGTGAAATTGACCAATTACACATCGTTCTGCAACGGTGACGGCTCTTGAGACTAACACTTCCTCCTTTTCCGAGAAACGGTACACAATACGGTTGACAGACTTCGCTGACGATTTAATTCGCTCTCGAAATCCTGATGTTATGCTGATATTTCCCTAAGTCATTGCTTCTAAACTGGAAATGCAATATTCACTACGAAAGGAGTATCTAGTGTCATGGATGACGATCGTTTTGCCGTAATGGTTGGAAAAAAAGGTAGACCTCCAAACAGAAATACACGAGAAGTCGATTCTACGGAAACATCAGCATAAAAACTCTTTTCTTTACAATGGCCAATTTACATTATCAACTCATTTTATCTTGTTATGCCCCCACAGAAGCAAGAACACTGTTTCTTTAGAAATTTACCCCCCTGGAGTATTCTTAATTGCATATATATATAGTAGTATGTCTCTTAGCCATTATTGAAATCATATATTGTAACTACAAAAGTAAGTTTCTGAAAGGCTTGAGGTCCTGTTGGGGTGAAGTGTGAACTTTTTGTGGGAGTGGAAATCAATGTGAAGCTGAGCAGTTTACTGATAAGAACCCAATTTTAATTGAATTGGTATTCCAACAACATAAAGAATAGACATCTCTGTGAGACTCCAAGAACAAGCTTGTGTAACATAGTTTGTTTTATGAAGCCTCACAGCTGTATGTATGTTGACAAGTACGTTTTTCTTGGTTTTTCATACTTAAGAAAACATTTGGACTGGAACTGGAACCCTTTCATCTGTGGAAAAATGTTGAACATTTTTTGTGAGCTCTTCATAAAAGGACCTCATGCATTGTATTTCACAAAAAAAATTGGGATTAATGTTTTTTTAACTACGAAAAATTAAACTGAACTGGAAATTTCTACACCTTTTTTCTGTGGACTCTGATGTTGGGTAAAGTTGTTATGTGTCAGAAATTCATCATTGTGTCAATCGTTTGATTTTAAATTGGATAATCAATTAGACTTGATCTGTTTAAATGGAAAGCTTACTCTTGTTTCTTATGTTTATCCTTGGGTAATACTCTTATCATTGGTTATTCCTTTTCAATTAAAGCTTGTGTATTAAGGTACACAGAAATTGGACAAACTTATGTCAAAGCAATTGTAGGTGATAATTGGAAAGGAAAAATATCAAATGTACATGTGTACTTATGAGTTGAGTGATATATTTAACCTCCACATCATAACACCTGACCTTTATATGTAATGTGGTTGTAATAACTTAGTCCTTTGAATTTTACTTACAGTGATGTAAAACATTATAGGCATAAAAATTATTTTCTCCAAACTCATTCTTAAATTGCTCACTTTTCAGGTAGTATAAAGGCCTTTTTGAAGGTTAGTGGTATATCTCAAAAGCTCTCCTAGATGAATGATTCAAAAATTGTTGTTCTATTTAGTTGGACGCTACACTTTTGGGGATAGAAAGTGATAGTCTTTTTTGGAATCTTTTATTGGGTTGACATTTGTCGCCAATCAATGCGGAGTGCATGGGAGCCTAAGCAACTAGAACATCTGTCAGTTATCTGCTGTTGTGGAATTTCATAAGTATAGATATAGAGTATCAAATTTCTGTGATACTGTCTTTAATTAAGAGAAATTTTCCAGTTTGCTTTGTAGCTATCCATTTTTGATGGACTGTTAACTGATTGGTGAAAAATTAAATATTTTTTAATGCACAGATGTGTTGTCTGTGATTTCTTTTCATTATTATTAGGAGTCCAGGTTACACATAAATGTACAATCACACATAGAGGGGATGGCCAACAGTTGAAGTTAACCCTTTCATGCACTCCCAAGATCTCATCAGTATGGAGAATTTGGTATTGGATCAACTAATAATCCTCTAATTGATATTTTTCTTTATTCTCATCACTTTCTGCTTGATACTATATTGACATTTTTAGGAGAAAATCTGTCTTGGTCACTCATGGGAGGTTAAGGGGTTAAATTGATATCCAATATGGTAAACGCCTAGATGAATTACAAAACCAAGAATATCGCTGTTTCTGATGCCGTCTACATCACAAAGAAATATTGTGTTTTATGACTGGTAAGTCAAACTGTATAATATTATGTACAAAAGGTCAATTTAACATTATGTTAGCATGTACAAGTCCTATTTCACATAAATAGTTTTCACTTGAAGTTACCCTTCCACCCCTGCCCTTGTCCCCAGAGGTTGAAAGCCCAATCAAAAATTTTATACTCCATGGTAAAAGTAAAATATAATGTTCAGTGTTGAATTACTCTGCCCAGTCCTATGCAATTGAAGAGTTGATGTCTGGAAGATTTTGATTTTCCAAAGAAATATATCTTCATTTGCTTCAAATTGTAGCTTGAAGATTTTTCAGGAATAACTTAAGCAGAGTGTTATTGATTAAAGTAATAAAAATTGAAATGGTACATTTCCTTTGTTGTATATATGTATTTTGTGCTGCTCAATATTGAAATTGCAAGAAATAGTTTCTAGCAGAAGTTAAATTCATTATGAACCACAAGAACTAAGAGAATTGACCATATACAAAATATACACATTTAGCTTGGCCAAAAAGTGCTGCTTGAGTTGGTTAATTTTAACTGCCCTTCGCGTTTTTTTAGAGTTATATTGTAAGTGGGTTATATTGTAGTAAAAAGGGTGGACAGAGACTGGTAAGAACCTGATATCAGTAACGCTCTGATTGTCTGGGAACTATAGTCCACAGAGGGACTGTTAGTGGTGATAGTATCATTTGTTTTATTAATGGAAGTCATCCATTGACTCCACTCAAGGTACTGCAGTGTTTGTCACTGAAATCAACAACAGTCCTTTTCAGGACTAATACGTATTCAGCCAATCACTTGGTGAAGGGAATACTTTAACAATTTAACTCCTAGGGGTGACCAGAACCTACCGGTAATTTCTCCCTACAATATAACCCCTGGATCATGAATTAAGGTCATAAGAATAAAGTAAATGATCATCAACCAAATTTAAGAGGCACTTGATTATTAAACAAATTATACTTGTCAGCATCTTAGGAAATATAAAGTCAACAGAACTGAGAATAAGATGCATACTGATGTTAGGGTGAAAAAGGTTCCTAGCCCCTATAGGTTCTAGGAGAATTACGAAAGCTACTTGTTGAAATACAAACAGTTTAATGCAACTATGATTGCATAAATTGGAAAAATGTTCAACTGATTTTTAGGTGGTTAATCTTGCACGAGCTTCTTCATTTCTTCTGGTTTTTGTGTTCAATGCCCTGATGTTGACCTTGTTTGTGAAGTCTCTTAGAGCATCATCTTCTTCAGCTACAGCAACGCGGTTACCAATACAGTCTCAAATTTTGTTTGCACTGCAAGTATTTGTCAACAAAGAGCTGAATCATCATTTTAAATTTTAGCATTACTACTGCTGTTGCCATGATCACTTGAACAAAATGAAGCCATCACATTTTACTAGATGGGCACTGATTAAAATTAATTGTGCCATGTGGAGAACCATTACAAGCAAAGATGACAATATGTTAGTTTTGAGCAGAAGGCTTCAGCCATATTTACTGCAACTGAATTCTTGCAAAGTTGTTGATTGTTTTATTTTTGATTAACTTAAATGACTAGTATTACAAGGAGACTGGATGTAGAACTTAACTGAGATTGGAATTAGAAAGATGGCAAGTTTTAGACCATTTTACAGTACCAGAAACAATTTTGCTGCTTTTCAAATGCAAATTACTTTGTTATCATGCTAACTAGATACTGGTCTCTATCACAACAAGGTATTGTAAAATCAAAGAGAATTAAAGAAGAACAGTCAAACAACACTTTGTATTCTCAACAAGTCTCCACATTTTTATAAATGGGCAGCCAATGTATTGTGGAAATTGCAACTTAACATGAATGTTAAAGACCAAACCTAAAGCAAGACAAAATTATAAAAGAAACTTCTTGCTAATAACTTGAAATAAGTTTGGAGTGGTCCTTTTAATGAAAGCAGTCATTTTAAGCCCACATTTTTAAACAATATTAGCTGTCTCCACCAACTGCATTCCAAATGATCTGTTGCTATCCTTTATAGCAATTCATCATTTCCTTTAATAAGAACAACAAGGATAAAGTATCTACTCTTTCTGATGAGTTATTTTTAAGTTTGATACTAACTTTTTGCACACACCTTTGATAATAGTGCTAGTCAGGCAGGACTGGCTAGTCAGCCATGCTGTGCCCCCTTAAAACTGCAATAGAAGAACTGTTATAGAAAGGGTTAAGGAATCCATCTGAAAAAGACAATTTGTTAAAGTGGAGTGGTATTCTCATATAGCTTTACAGTTGTTAAAGTCAAGTTGAGGGGATTGTCTATCAAGATGCGGATAATGTTTCAGGAAAAAAAATTAGAATTTTGAATTAGATGGACACATATGTGGTGACTCTTAGTCCTCTGTAGTCAAACTGCAATTCAGAGCTTTGGTTGTTGTGTGATGAAGAAAACAAGAGATTTTTGGTCAAAAAGTTTTGGTTTATGGACGAGAAACAACAACATACCAAATTCCATGAGCCAAGGCTCAGCATTGACATCAGGAGGCAAGTGCACTATGCAAGGCAACCCTTCCTCTTCTTAATATGTAACTAGCTATCAGAATAAAGGGGTAAGTTTCTAAAGAAACTGTGGTGCTGCATCAGTGGGAGAGTATAGCAGGTAATTTAGTGTTAACAACTGAAGTGAAAACATAAATTAGCCACCATAAAGGGTAAAAAAGCTGACGTTTTGAGCGTTAGCCCTTCGTCAATCGCTCTGACAAAGGGCTAACGCTCAAAATGTCAGCTTTTTTACCCTTTATGGTGGCTAATTTACGTTTTCAACTCAGTTGTTAACACTAATTACTAGTGATCAGAATACTTTATGATCTAGGAATATACCACTCGTTAGTACCAATGAGGAAAAGGTGGCCTTCTAAGAGTTTGTTGGTTGCTTTCTTGCATGAATTTTCAATGACAACCAAAGGGCTAGAAGTTGCACATCTTGTTACAATGTTAAACCTCCAACAGATACAGTGTGTTTAAACAAAAGGAATCAAATCATGACCTACAGGTCTTCAACAAAAAATACAAACTGCATGACAAAACTTACTATTGGAAATGCTAAGTGTTCTTTCATTACAAAAACAGCTGAAGTCTTTTTGGGGAAAAAGAGAAACAAGTTCAAACTTCTCAAAAAGTATTTTGACATATTTTGTTGGTACAATTTAGTCCAAAATAAAAAGTTTTTTAGTGAAAACTAAGGATTGTGATATAAAGAGTAATTTTTTATGTTGTCATAACTGTCATGTTACACCATTGCTTTTTCACCTTCATTGGCTCCTGATTAGTTACTGTGTAGAATTAAGATTCTACTTTTGACATTTCAGTGTTTATATGGTCTAACTCCTAATTATTTAAGGGAATTAATTAGCACCAAAAAGCAATCCAGGTACTCTCTTAGGTCAAAAAAGTCTTTGTTACTTGAGTTACCTATTACTAAGACTCATCCAACCCTTGGTGATCGTGCATTCAAGTCAGCTGCACCTTATCTTTGGAATGCATTACCTTTAACAATTCGCCACATAAAGACATTGGACACTTTCAAGACTACTGTTTAACTAATTTTTTTAATTTAGCCTTCAAATAGTTTCTTATATTTTTAGTTGCTGTTAACATAATTTTACTGTGACAATATTGTGAAGTGCAACTGAATATATCCATATAGAGGTCTGCACTATATAAATGTAATTATTATTATATAACTGTTTTTATCAGTGTTTTTCTTCTTGCAATGCATTCTATTACATTATCGTTGCAAAGTCCTTTGTCAGACACATTAATATCTTTATTTATGATATTTTTGCTTTAATTCAAAATATATCTTGCCCGACTTCTTCTCACTGTCATAAATGTAGAAATGTTTTGTATAAATCTTTCAGATTTCTTTCATAAAAAAGTGTAGGTATGATTTCACCCAACTTCATTTGGTTATTTGTAAGAACAGGAAAATGCATCTATATGTCACCATCAGACACCTCATCACTATCATAAGTTCTGACACGTTTATAATTATGTAACCTTACTTGAATGTTTCTTGTTATTATGTGTACGATGATTTTTGCCACTATCTGATTCCTCGCTGTCAGAGAGGAGGACACATTTATTTCTAAATTTACTTGATTTTTTGACGCAATCAAATGAATTATTATTCTCCTCACAACCAGATTCTTCATCACGTTCATGAATGAGGACACGTTTACGTCTCAATTCACTTGACTTTTTATTGCACCAATTTGCAAAATCATCGTCGTCATCATCATTATTACTATTAGTAACATGATTGTTCCTTTCTCCCTTTTTGTGACCAGCTTTGTTCTTCATTCCATTACATGTATCCTTTTCTGTGTCCATTCCAGATCTCAGCAACCTTTCCTCTGTCAAGAATGTTTCCCCACCACACCAATCCGTTATTTCCTTTCTGATAGCTGCAGCCAATTCAACATTGTGTTTACTTACATTTTCCTCTGTGTCTGTGACTTCATCTGTTGCAACAGTGTCAGCAAGAGACCCATTTTTAAAGCTCTTGCTACGATTAAGTCTTTTAAGTGTGGAGTTCTTTTTCGGTTTCTTTTTCTTGGATATAGATGATTGCGTAATCTGTTTCGCATGATAACCCGGTGTCACGCAAACTTCTGTATTGGATACAGATGATCGCGTGACCCTTTTCGGGTGACAGCCTTGTGTCACGCTAACGTCCGTATTATCTGCATCCGCCACTTCTGCTGTCATCCAAGGTGTCCTTCTTTTCTCAACACCACAGTTTATATCTTCTTCGTAGAAGTCGGCATCTAGAGAGAACAAATCGTGGATTACCGAATATTTTTCTTCCTTCTCGACGTGATTTTCACGAGGCTCATTTTCCGTTTGCTGGCGTGACGAGTCTGAGTCGTCATCTATCTGAATAATTTCCACTCTATGCGAGGAGCACTTTCCACTTACTATTTGATCTTTTCGATTCTTTTGCGTTTCCTTGGTTCTCTTGGGTTCTTTTGGAAAATAAGTAGTTATTGGTCTCATTTTCACAATTTTCCTGTTTGAACGTTTCCTTGATTTCCTTTTCGTTGCTGGCGTCGATTGCTTCTCTTTAATTTCAATCTGCCTAGTGATATTTTTAGTTAAAGTTTTGGAGTAAGTCTGCAAATCTCTTAACAGGCGCCTCAAATTGTGATCTGGGTCAATTAAGTCTGTTATTGGAAGCTCCACAGTAAAACATTTTCCGTCGATGATATCACACTTCACATCTGGGATTTGTCTCATATCTGTTAGTAATTGGACTTCTTCGAGCTCCTCATATTCATGAAGATTCTCTGGAGCAGTTTCTATCTGTTTTACTATCCTATTAATTTCTTCCGGGTCTAGCACAATGCGTCGTAAAGTTGCGATGTCTTTCCTGAGGAATATTTGTTTCAAAATGAAAATGTAAAAAGTTGGCTGGCTTTCCTCTAATGAGGTACTCTCCCAGAGGTAAATATTCGAAAGATTTTCATTATTTCGTTGCAGAGTACTCGTAGTGGATCTCGTAAAAGAGAAATGAATCTTCCATGAATCGTCTTCTCCGCTCGCTTCGTTGGTCATCTGGTAAACCACATAACAGTTGTCAATATTCAACCATACTTTGTATGACGAGTTTTCCTTTGCCAGTTCAGGAGACTCAAGGGATACTTATAGGCTGCCAATATCGCTAGACTGTATTTTTCTCAGAAAAAGAGTCGTCCTCCGTGACTGTTGCGTGGCAACAACAAACGCGCTGCCGCGCAAGGCTACCTTTGTAGGTGGACCGTTATAAGAAACCAACAGTTTCAAATCGATCATCTCTCGTCCTCGAATCATCTCTCGGAACTTAAATTGTTGATTTTGAACGATTTTCTTTGGCACAAAGTTTTTTCCGAATCGAGTAGAAAGTTTGCGCAGCGAATATCTTTCTCAGAAATTTTGTAACGATTTCCAGGAAAGAGCATTCGATTCGAGGAGAACAACGTTAAAAATAACCTTATATTTACATTTATCTTTGCAGCAATTTTGAAACATTGGGAGGTATAAAATTTGAACTTCAAATCAACATACGTTAATCTTGCAGGAGTGTTCAACCGCCAATGTTTGAAAAGAAATTAATAATCTTGTCACCTAACTTTATATTTGCGATTGCTCAATTAAAATAGAATGAGAAATATTTCGGAAGCAGTATTGTGCCACTTGCATTTTTAAGAACAGCCGCAAGCACTGTTCTCGCGTCGGAGATTGAAATTCCAATGCAACGGCGACAGCTGTAAATTTGTTATCAATAGGAAACGTTTGCTTCGGAGTTTTAAACTGTTCTAAAGAATTAACATAGAAAGAACTTCTGTTCACAAGATGCGGCTTTGAATTAACCTCACACAAATATCCTTGTAAAGTTTTAAATAAAACTGAGTTTCCTGCCAAAAATATTTGTTGAACTGTAATTGTGCAATTACCTTGCGCACGATCACAAGTAAACAGCGGTATCTTCAACCGTGAGAACTATTAAAACCGTTACAAGTCTCCGTAATTGATGAAATCTTTCGCTGCTATCAACTGCTCTCCGCTTTGCCATTTACAAAAGGAAAAGAATTGGGGAATTGAAACCCCTTACTTGTAGGCTGCTGTCAAATTTAACCGGGTTGAATTCAATTAACTGACGAAGAGAGACTGGGTCGAACCTTATTTTTATAGTATGAACAGTAGGGACTTCTGGACTAAAGGATTCTGGACAGTTGCAATGAGGTCGATCATCAAACGTCAAATGGCCAGAACATTAATCGTCAATTGTCAAAATTTGAAGATTTTTTACCATGATCAGTCAGTAATGCCAAATCTTTAGTAACATTTGGTAATTATATTCGTTATTTTGCACTAAATTGCTTGTAATATTCACAAAATTCAATTATGAAGTTTCTTTTGTTCTTTTTTTACGGCAGACTGCCATTTGAAAACACTTAACCTGTTATAAAATATTAGTCGCGTTCTTATAAATGGTGTTACAACTCTCTCTTGTAGGTGGGACCCCTTTTTGGTGCAGGAAAAATTGATTGCCTGAAAGAGGTAAATCTCAAACTCAGCACAAAAAGATGTAAATCACATGGATCCTTTTATGGGAACTATTAATTGCTTCATAAATGAAACTGTATAATCAAGAAAATGTACATAGTTTCTTCAGGAAAAAATGTTCATTTCAGGCAAACTTGTTGATTTTCTACAGCGGGCTACTCGGCTATTCACTTTTCACGTTCAAAAAATGTCTATACGATTGGTTTTGTGTACCATCTGAGATTTTTTTAAATTCAAAACACTGGTCTGCATCAAATACGTTTTCTTCGTATGATTTTAGTGGAAAACGAGTGTCACGGCGAAGAAAAGGATATTTTTTGCCACTTCATCCTCAAATATTCTTCATCGACTTTTCTACCTCGTGTCAAAAAAATTAACGACGCAGATGTTTTGCCAAAACTTGAGGATAAACTTTCTGATCAATCCTAATTCCATTCCGTGTGGCTTAACCTTTTAAATCCTAAGAGTGACCAGCATCTAATTTCTCCTTACAGTAAAACTGCTGAATCATTCACTAAGATCATGAGAATAAAGGAAATGATCGCCAATCTAACAAGCTTTGATCTTGAAATGAATTCTTCTTGTCAGTACCTAAGAAACATATAGAGAAGAGTGTGGAGAAGATGGATACTGATGTTGGGGTGTTAAGGGCTAGGGTCATTTTCTAACGTTGGTGATGTATTTTCTGATGTGGTCTATCCATATCAATGTCCGTATCACTCTTTTCTATAATAGGGCAAAATGTTTATCATTTAACTTGCTTCTTTCATAAGGTTTCTCATCTAAATTATCGTAGAGTCCATAGTAGTTTCCATTTATATTTTGTCGTATATCTTACATATTGCATCTGTGTCACTTTCCAGGGAATCTGTTGTGTCCTCAATAGCCGCCGGACACCCTCAGAAATGGCGTCTGCTAAATTCGTATACTAACCAATTGGGAAATAAACGTACTCGGAATTTTTTAGTCGCTTTCATTAACCGTACACAACATGCAGCCCTCGCTACCAACTGGGATGCTTTTTCCTCTTCGCACAATGCACCCAATGTAGAATGCGTGACCTTTCTCGCATAATTTCCAGATATCTCTTTGGTAACCAGGAAAATTTGCGAAGTCTTGAGCTTCTTTCGGCAGTGGCGCAAGTTTCACCTCTTTTCTTAGCAAATTGACGATTGTTTCCAGCCAGTCAATATCTAGGATGTCCTCATTTCCTTGGAGAAATTTCTTAAACCGAATGTGTGCCAACATCTTTCGATCTGTACCACTGCCTGATAAGGAAATCCGATGCATCAAAGCAATGTCCTGGACCTTTAAAACTTGAGAGAATAGAAAGAACTTTTTGGCCTGCTCGTGAATCTGGCTTAAACTTTCCAAATCAAGCTCTGGGTTTTCAAGATCCTCTTTAATGTTTTTCATGGCATCTTTGATTGCTTTCGATGGTTCGCTGAATTCTCGGTGCGCCTTAATGTTTGCCAGGACGTCTTCTGTCTTCCTCACCTGTTGAAGGATCATCAAGTGATTTTTAAAGGTAAATGTGAAAACACTACTGCGATTTTTACGCGGCAGATTGAAAGGATTCCACTTCCATGGGATGGATCGTGCAAAGGCAAGGTCTGCTTGTCCAAACTTTTTTCTGTGTTTCTCATCATACTCCTGAGTTGCACCGATGTCCTTTGCTAGACGAATGGAAGCGTCGTTAACCTCTACCTCAAGTTGTTCTATCTGTTTCTTCACGTTTTCAACGTTTTTCAGTGTCCTTTTGACAATATTTCCGTAGCGATAGCTGAATGTTATCGACCTTGAGCACCTGGGGCATTGTAGAAATTGTATATGGTCACCCAATTCACGCACCATCCACGCGTCCATCTCTTCAACACTTATGGTGTGACCACAGTCAAGAAGTTGAAGACACCTCGTGGCTTCTTTTTTAACAGAACCTCTAACAGCTAATGTGGAGGAAAGCTTTTTGGCATTGCAAATGGCACACAGCGTTGGACAGTTTTCTCCACACAAGCCAATACATGGATGTTGACAGGGGAGCTTCTTGGGACAAGGAGCATTACATGGAGGGCGGTCGCACTCCTCCCCACAAAGATTCTTGCACTGATAATGTGGACAACTCCATGTGCACGGTTCAGTGCAAGAATCACAAAGCTGTGAACAACGTCTTTTACATTTTCCGTGAGGACAACTCTTGGCACATTTCTTGTTACAGGGAGGGCAAGGTTCGCCACATACGGCGTTGCAACGGTGTAAACAAATCAGTAATCGACCGCATTGATGTTGGCAAAATTCATGTGAACCTCTCTCCTGACACTCGTAACATTTTCCAGAACAATAGTGACCACATGGCAACTTTGCTCTACATTCAGCCGGGCATTGCACATCATCAATAGATTGCTTGCAATGCATCTTGATCTTATGGCCACACGACAGGACTTTGATTACAACCTCATTACAAGGATAATTAGAGCAATCTTTTCCACAAACTCCTTTACAGCGATGTTTGCACGAACTCTTCTGTCGCTGACAAGGAGCGGTGCAAGTGGCGGTTTTTCGTTGAAAACATCGAAAATTTTCCATTTTGTGGCCACAGGGAAATTTATCTTCTATTCTGTTTGTGCATCTCATATTTTCACACTTCTCGCTACAAAGGCCCGGACATAGGTGACCACAACCAAGTTTTCTATTGCATTTTTCCTTGCATTTAACATCGTCGGGATTGTCACTGCACCTCATTTGGAGAGAGTGGCCTCCTGCGCAGTTGAGCAGTTTGGACACTTTCTTACGGCATTTTTTCTGACTACATTCCTCTGAACATTTACCCTGACATACGTGACCACAGGATAACCTCCGCTGGCACCTATTTGTACAAACAACTTGGGACACATTCTCAGAGCAGAGGCAACTGACTTTATGGAATCCACAGGCTAAATCCTTCTGAACTTCCACAGCACATTTGAAAGAAGCACAATTATCACCGCATTTTTTCTGACAACGGTGTTCACACGGAAGAAAGCGATCACAAGGAGCATTACAGAAAATGTTTCCTTTTCGTCCTTCAGAGCACCCCACTTTCTTTTCATGACCACAAGGCAATTCCATAGTAACCTTTTCGTTACATTCATCCTTTACTAATTCATTTCTCATTTTAGAGCATGACGTGAGCTTCTTGTGTCCACAGGAAAGGACAAGTTGAACCTCCTCTTCACATAGGAGAAAGCAATCATTAGGCGCATCACAGATGTTTCCTTTTTGTCGTTCAGAGCACGTCATCTGCTTTTCATGGCCACAAGGCAATTCTATAGGAACCATTTCGTTACACTCCTCCTTTGTCAATTCATTTTTCATTTCCGAGCATGTTGTGAGCTTCTCATGTCCACAAGAAAGGGTCAGTTGAACCTCTTCTTGACAGGAGTGCTCCTCTGGATTAATATAACATCGGAGAATTGTTTCGTGTCCGCACGGTAGTTTTCGTGTCGTTTTAACCGTGCAAGTAGCATTTTGCAAATCCTTTTTCAAAGAGAAGCAAACGAGAGACTTTGTATGTCCACATGATAGTTCAACATCTACTTTCTTCTTGCACTTGCAATCATCAGGTTTTTTGTGACAGGGAAGAATGAGTTTGTGTTTACAAGGCAATTCTTTCTCTACTTTCTCGTTGCACAATGGTTTTTTTTCTGCTCCCTGCGCAACACGGCACTCGTAGTGCATTTTGTGACCACAAGGCAAGTTAACTTCAATTCCTTTAGTGCATTTATACTTTAAGGGATTTTTGTGACAAGGTAAAACCACCTCGTGACCGCACGGTAACATTTTGCTCATAGGCAATGTGCATGGCTGAGCTTCACATTTTTTGCTACAAATACTTGAACAAGGGTGTCCACATGCTCTTGATCTTTGGCATGGTTTATCACATTTGATCGATTTTGGATCTATGTAACAGAGCTTCTCGACTGTGTGTCCACATGTGGGAAGTGGCATATTGTGTACCACCATGCAGGCATCACACGGACGACCAAGGTGGCACAGCTTTTGGCATGCGTGACCTCTTGCGCACTTGGTTTGGCACAACTCCTCACATTTGACTTCTTTGCATTGACGGCCGCATACTGACGGGCATTTGTGACCGCAGTCCAATGGTCTCTGGCAAGGATTATAACAAAAAGCACTTTTGGGGTCAACATTGCAAGGCTCACTTTGTTGGTGCCCACAAGGAAGTTCTTTGATCACAGTTGCTTTGCATAGATCCACTCTACAATCCTCAAAACAGATGCCAGGACACTCATGACCGCAGTCCAAAGTTCTTCTGCATCTCTCATGGCACTCGAATGAATCGTGTTTCTTGTGGCACAAAACTCGTTTCATATGCTTACACGGTAGTTGAACCATTATTTCTTCGTTACACTGACATTCATCTTTACATCTTTTCTTGCAAGGGTGGCCACATTCCAGAACCTTCTCGCAGTCGTTATCACATTTCACAGTAGTCGGATCACGGTGACATGCCATCTCTTTATTGTGCCCACATGGGAGGCTTTTGAGACATTTTTCTTTGCATTTTGCGGTGCACACCTCTCCACACTTTTTTCTGCATTTGTGTCCACATGGTAGCATCTTTTCGCATTTCACTAAACAGGAAAACGCTGCAGGATCAACACTGCATGGTATGGACTGTTCGTGCCCACACTGAGGTACTGTCTTCGACATACCGTGATAACAATCAGGACAGCTCCTTGGATAATGACAGACTTCTCCACACTGGTGTTCGTTGGGGCAACTTTTGAAACACGCTTTTCGACATTGATCATCATGATACGCGTCTGATGGATGGCAAGGTCTGTCACAAGCATGGCCACAATCAAGTCGTTCCCCACACATCTTCCTGCATCCTCCACACATTGGGAAATCGCCTGGATTTCGTACAGATGTCACATTCTTGTGTCTCTGACAAGTAAGTTCAAAGGTATCGCCAATTGCTTTCACTTTGTCTAAATCATGGCATATCCCCTGCCACACTGGGCACTGGCGTCTTAGCATGTAAAGGTTTCCAATGCAGTAAAATCCTTTGCGTGCTCGTGACAAGGCAACACAAATTCTATTGGACTCACTAAGAAAACCAATTCGACCCACTGAATTGCTTCTCACCAATGACAGAAGAATGATATCATTTTCTTCTCCTTGAAAGTTGTCTACTGCACAAATTTTGATTCCTTCAAATTGATTTCGTGGCATTTGGTCTTGAAGAAGAAGTAGCTGGCCGATGTACATGGTTAGAATTGTAATTTGGTGCGGTTTGTAACCTTGCTGTAGAAGATATCTACATAGGTATTTCAAGAAGGTGGCTTCGTGAGGATTAGAGAAACTCTGCAGATTCCCATTTAGGCTCTCGGATTGACAGTGATCAACAAAGAACATATTCTGCGATATGCCAACTATATTCTCGAATTTGCGCACTGTTTCGTGATCCAATATCTCATGATCGTAGAACCGTTTAGTCAGTGCAGCAATCTCAGGGCGCATGCGGTGCTGTATACACAGCCGTTTGCAATCCATACTGTTCATTACCATTCTTTCGAACAAGGAAATTTCCAGGTTGTATTTCTGGGCCAGTTCATAGACTGTTGCTTTCGGGCGTAGCTGCTTGTGGTCTCCGATAAGTATAACATGATTTGTATCACGTGATAGAGAAGTGATGATGTGCGCCTCCATTACTTCGGCCGCCTCCTCGATGATGACAATTTTTGGACCTATTTTTTGAAGCATTGAGTGGTACCTTGCAGCTCCGCTGGTTGTCATTCCAACTACAGTTGCTTTACGTATGACTTCTTCCTCCTCTTCTGCTCTCAATTCTTCTAATTCATCACAAAGCTGCTTGTGCTTCCGTTCATATCCTTGGACTTCCATTCTGTGGCGATCACGGTAGCATTCGGCCCAGTAAAGGTACAATCGGAGTCTGTCTTCTTCTGACAAGGACCAAATATTTGGCACACTCATTGCTTCTTCATCCGACATCGCATGTAAATTTTGAAGCTTCTCTTGTATTTGGCTTGTGTCTGCTCTAAGATCAGTCTTGCCTACTCCATTCTGTTTTTCGTCATCTTTTTTACTGGTCGTCTCTGTGCCATGGCTACTTCTAAATTTATCACTGTGATCTTTCCTCTCTTCATTCCTCTGTCGTCTAGACGAATTCCTATATTCTACCATTATCCATCCTTCGCCATTTTCATTATCATCTTTGTCATCTTCATCTTCACAGTTTCCTTTGTTGGGTAGTTGAATCGCTGAAATACATTCCTCTTCGCCTACTAAGCGTCTTTGATTTTGTATTCGCGTCGCCTCATCTTCTCTAGCGGTCATGTCTTCAAGGCCTTTATGTGTTTCTTCAACTTTTACTTCATCAGAACTCTCTACCTTCTGTTGCGGTGGTTTATCTGTAACGTGAATGTCGAATGGTGCCCAGAAATGATCAGGACTTTGTTCACCTTCACTTTTATCCTCCTCTTGAAGAATTGATCCATCTACTCCATCAGCATGGTTGGTCTCTGTTGACCCATCGGACGCCTGATTCATATCATTTAATCGGCAGTCATTGCACAGCCACAATTTAAAAGTATTGCGAGTATTTTGACACTCAGTTGTTGCGTTTGGTGGAAATAGAGAGCCATAAAGTTGGTCCACATGAAGCGGGTTCATGCCGTCTTCCAAAACTCTGAACTCCAGAATGTCTTTTTCAGCTTTGAGAATTGTTTTCTTGACATTTTCCATTTCTTTGAGATTATCTTTTAATTTCCAGTAAATAAAGCCTCGCTTGTCACGTCGTCTGTTATCTTTTACGAATAGTTTCAAATTGCAACCCTCAAGACTTTGGCTTTTGGACCTTCCCCCAACTCGAATTATTGCGCCCCTCTCCCGGTTGAATTCTAGCACTTTTTCGAGGAACTGATCCAGAGCGTGATTGGTGTAGCAGACCATCAACATCGGGGATGCTTTCTCAGGATCCCATTGTTTTCGGTTCTCAAGAAGGCATCGCGCGATCTTGGCTCCAACGTAGGTCTTCCCTGTTCCGGGGGGCCCTTGAATCACGGAGAACTCGGTCGTTACTCCTGTTCTTAACGCCTCAAGCTGAGAAATGTTAAGAGGAAGTTCCTCAGCCGGTGGCCAAGCTTCAGGTTCGAGAACAGGTATCTTCTGTAGTCTTACTGGATGACTTACGGCAAGGGCTTTGCTGAGATCGTAACATACGGGATCCTGATTGCTATCGCGTCTGAGATACTTTGGTGGGTCCACCTCGGCACTGCATTCAACCAAGTACTTAGGAAAAGGCATGCTGTTTTCGTTTAGTTCTTGGAGTCCCTTGAGCACATGATAATACGCCTCAAAATACGCCGGAGACTCAGCCATCTGGTACTGCTCTTGACGCTTTTCGATATCAAAAACATTTTGATCTTCGACGAATCGGATGTCAAATTTACCTTCCTCCACATCCTTTGGATCTCGATTAGCAACCGTGGCAAAGAGCATTGTTTGGAAGTTGTCTTTCGAAAGGCAAACGAATGAACCAAAGATGAGCCGTTTTGAGTGAGCCAATATTGCCTTGGAAAACTTGGATTCCTGAAGTTTAACTTTGTAAATAACGCCAGAGGATGTGAATTCCTTTCCGACAATGCGCACTTCTTGGTAGCATTTCATTGACTGGTTGCGCCGTTCTCTAGGGACATTGTGGGTAATTTCATAAATTCCTTCCCTTAAGGGCTCGAGGAAATCTTCTCTAAGCAATCGAAACTGTACATCAAGGTAATGTTCAACATCGTCATATCTTCCCTTTGAAATGTTCTTACGTAGGAAAGGTCGTTCTTGAGATGTCATTTCTTTGTTTGTCGGACAAATCGTCAAATCCCTGAAGTCGTTCGGAGGCTTTTTTCCAGTCATGTTAGTGTAACGTTGTCCTCGCTTCTGTCTCTCAGCTACGATGGCATTATCTCTGGCTTGTTTAAAGACCTCAAGCTCCTTCTCAAGCTCCTCTTTTCTGTCGATGCTTGCTCCATCTAAGGCTTGTTTCAATTGTTCATAGGGCAGGTCAGCATAAGAACTGGGCAAAGGCATCAAAAACTGTGTGAATATTTTGATCAGGTATTGAATAAGTCTTCTCTGGGATCCTTGGTCATTTAAGGTTACTGAGTCTTGAATACGATCCAGCAGGAATGGAATCTTTGATTTCAAAAAAATTGAACCTTTAAGTGCCGTGAGAATTTTGATCACGTTCTCGTCTATTGGCTCTAGGCATACTCTCGCTAATATGCAGGTAAGGTCAAAGATGAATTCATCGCTTTTGTGCTGCTCCTCTTCCGATCGTAGAAAATGTTTAAAGCGAGCCATACTCTCATTCAATTTTTGAACAATATCAGTGCCTTTCATTTCTTTTAACATTTCCAAGTCTAACATATTTTTCGCTGGTAAAATGCCTCGCAAAGGTGCCTGTGCTTTCTGTTGTGACGGGGAACAGACATTCCTATTTCCTGGAAAAGGCGTTCTTGCTTGTTTTGCTTGTGTTTGACCTGTGTTATAAGGAAATGTGTTCCAAAATAAGTTGATCGTTTTTCATTTGATTTCGTCGTTATCGGAGAACTGGGTAACTCTATCAGAAGTTATCACAAGCTTACGTTTTATCTTGGAGACGTTACCTAATCACACCAATAGATTTCAAAGGGCATGCTAGTAGGCCCTTGCTTACTTTTTGCGTCATATTTTTTCCTTTCCTTTTTTGATACACATTGTGTACATTTCTGATTATTCAATAACCCTTCACTCAATGACCCTTGTTGCTGGGCAGCTTCGAGTGACAAAGCTATGTATGACATGTATTTGATAGGAGTGGAAGCATTTATACACAAATAAAAAATTTGCAGCAGAGCTTATGGGATGGTATTGTTCTCTTGTTATCTGTGAATAAAGAACTTGCAAGCTTTGGTTGAGAGTAATTGAACAAAGATTGAATGAAAATTGTGCTACTTTGTGAATCAGTTGATTATAGCATAGAATTCTAATTTAACCATTACCTGAACGTTTTCCCTTTTCAAATGGTGACATGGGACCTTTTCCGTGCGCCCGTGATGATTCTTCCTGACCTTGTTTGCTATGTTTATCAGCGTTGTCATCTACGATTGAAAGAATGTTGTTTTAGAAAGACAAGTACAATTATCTGGCGGAAAGTGCCCACGAAGGTGAAGGACTAAACTTTCTGAAATACATAAATAAGAGTTCAGGAGTAAATGGCCGCTTCGCTTGGTCTAGTGTAGGTTAACAGGCCCTTAGGAACGAATTTTGTATTGCGAGGGCCCAAAGGCAGCAGTAATTGTGGTGTATTTAAATGAGCCATAATAGAGACATGGTTCTCCATAAAAATCTGATCCTTTAGGCAAGCTCTCCTAACCTTTTAATTTGGCACATGTTGTAGTTTACACTCCTATCTTACAAACTACTCGTAACCATGTACGTTGGTACCAGTGCATTTATCTTCTTTTTCCCTCATCAACTAGAAGTGTGTTTGTGTGTATGAGGGGGGGGGGGAGGGGTTTGAGGGAGGTGCACGATCTCCCTTAGCCTCCTATTCCTACGGGCGTGGATGGTAACAAATAAGATAACTCATACAACAAACTGTACCCTTAATTGCTTTGCTTTGATGTCCAAAGATCCCGACAGGCCACTCACCTCGAGTTTTTCGCTGAACTGGTCCGTTGTCTACTGAGCTTCCACTTGCCTTTTGAGGGGCTGACCTTGCTGCTTGTGGTGTCGTTTTCTTCTCTGCACCTGTCTGACTTGACTCAGTTGTAGCTTCAGCATCTAAAAATATTCCGTTAAAATCGTGATTTGTCACTAAGGTGAGATTTTCACGCAGCCTACATTTGGTGACTCTTGACATGATAGTATTACAGACCCTTTCTGAGTGACACGTTTGCCGAGGTGTTTCATGATGCAAGTCTCTAAATCTTGAAATCAGCTTAGAGGCTGTCAAGCTCTTGTGAGAGCATCCATAGCAAGTTAATATTGAGCGTAGTGGAGTGTTTTTTTTAAGCTTCAAGGACCATTTCCTTGAGGTACTTCAGTGAAGAGACAAGTGAGTGATAATGCTTCCGCGACAACGTTACACTTACATGACTGGAAAAAAGGTGTTAAGAATGGTTTATACAACTAGCATGTCAGGTATGAGAAATGACAGGCGTATACGAAAAAAAAAAACAGCTTATAGACAAAAAAGCAAGAACGAATGTTATTTAGTCACTCAAATGTGTTTAAGGGCGTTTGATTAATAACTACAAAGGCAAATTTCGTGAGCAGGTCCTTAATCAATATCAGTTAGTTTCATAATCCGGTCCTTGATTGACAAACCAAAATGAAAATTGCAAGATAAGCTTAAACAGTTGTGGGGTCCAACAGGTTTCCAAGTGGATAACGACTGCTAATTTTGTGAGCAACGCCACGCTCGGACTAAACTATTAATGCATTACGAATTTGCATTTTCACGAGTTTTAAAGCATTATTCATGTAGAATGATTGATTTAATACCCATTAACCGTGTGTGTGTTTCCTCCTGAGCTTCATTTCACCCTCCATGAATTGCTTCCTCTCAATATTGACCAATACTAGATTGAAAACTTTAAGTAGCAATTTTACTTGATGTACTTCTTTTCAATCGAATTAAACTCGAAATTGTATTATTTTGGTACTCCCAACATTTTCTACTCACCTACAGAGGCGTTTTCTCTGCCTTGATGTCGTCTCTGTCGTTTATTCCTTCTACCATCCGGATGCTTTCTTCCATATCGGCCTCTGTGGTCTTGTTTGTCTTGTGTAGTTTTATCATCTTGAGTAAAAAGAGCATTCTATTACACCTGCTTACAAAGCTTCATGCACTAACCATCTGATTGATTCCTTGGTACTACATCGACAACCTATCAAGTCTCTACTGATGAGCCACAGGTTTTTTTACCATTCAATCGTGAAAATAGGTATTGGTAGACGGTTGGAATAAATGGAACGTATCAGAACCCCGAATAGAAATTTCCATAACAAGAACATATTGCACGCGAAATGACCTGGAAATGAGCTAATGGAAAGTACATTTCTTTTTCGAAATTCTGTTTGAAATACTCTCGGCGGTGAGATCTGCATAAGTTTCCTTATTACATTGCAACCACAACATTGCAATACTATACCTGGTATTTGATCAGCAGATGATCCACAAGCACCTCCGCTCGGTTGAGACGCCTGAGGACTTTCTGTCCATGGTGAAGATTTGGCTTGTCCCTCTTCCCTTGTTTTTGACGATTCATCAGATTCTGCAATACAAGCAGAGATTTGAGATTTAATTGGTTGTTTTTAGAAAAGATAAAAGTCATCCAAGTTGTACAGGACTGGAAAAATGTTTATGCATATCTCCTTTTCCAGGTGGAAATATTTACAATTATGAGAGTATAGTTAGATAAATGTCTTGGTCATCTATCCAGCTTCGTTCGCAAAGAGCTGTAGAAACCAGTTTTAACTGATTAAAATCATAGGGATGAAATGGGTGATGTCTAACACAGTTCAGTGACATTAATCTTGAAAGATTTTTTTCTCTTTTTTTAATCTTTAGCAAAGGTAAAAGGCCCGCGGGGAGGGGAGGGTCTAACTCAACCAGTGGGTCAGTTCTGGAGACAAAGAGGACGAAAACAAGAGACATGCCTTTACATGGAATCAATGCCATGCAATCTTTCAATATAACTTGTGGCTATAACCCAATGAAGTTTCCACTGCTATTTTATTCGCCATGAAAAAAAAAGAAAGTCTAAGAAAATTAAGAAAATGTCTCATTAGGGTAATTCATGAATAGTAATGAATCTAGATAGTAGCGAGACAACATTAAACGCACTCACAAAATTAAAAAGTTTAATAACGGAGATTGGGATCAATATCAGTATCTGGGCAACTGCCCACCTACCCCTCCCCTAACCCAACATTAACCCTAACCTGTTATCAATAGACTGTTGATCCGGAGATTGCCCATTAAGGTTAAACCCTTGGCCATGTTCTACTTAAGAATATTATGCAGGGTATATATATGAGTTATAGAGTGAAACACTTTTTAATACCTTTGGATTTTTCCCGTTGTCGTTCACGTTTGTCGAAGGTACTCGACCATTTTTTTTTCTTCGAGGGCATGGTGCTGAAAGAAGAGTGATGTATCACAACTGAGTCTTTTTGGTACCACTTTACAAAGCTAAACCTGCGACTAATCTTTACCTATCATACTGCAGTAGTAGTCTATTTAGATTGAATTGTAAAACTAGCAGGAAATAGATAACAACTGATGGATCGAAAACAATTTGTAGAGTTTTAAAACATGACAGAGCTTTAAAAATTCATCGCTTGTCACTTGAAGCTTGGACAAAGTAGGGGCTCTCTAACCCTAAGCAAAATTGTTTAAATTATACGAACTAGTGTTTCGCCCTCAAAGGTCCTTATTTTGCTGCTGGTACAAACTTTCTGTGGACTTTTTAAGGAATTACGAGAATGTTGATAAGCAGACCGAGGCCTTTTTAGGCATAAAGAAGAGAATGCATAAAATTAAAGTTCTAAATTTATCTACCATTACGTTTTGCCACAAAAACCTCACTCATGCAGACCATGACTTAAACTGCAATCCACGCTCGCGGGATTGGGGCGATCAACTAGGGCGAGTTATGAGTTATGATGTCACTCCACGGTCTGATTGCATTTGCCAACGTGGCAGTGTGGACAGCAAATTTAGGGAATTTGAGGTAGTTTGTCGATAAAACAACACTTGATTCAATTCTACCATTCAGCGTCTTAAAAATTTTGCTTTTGCTGAACAAATACTGGTTTTATGGTCTCGTCGGTCTTGACTTACCCACAGAATATAAGCACAGGACTTTATTTCAATTACAGGCGCCATCTTGATTAAGAGTGCCCTTACGAAAAGTTGATTTTAAGCGAGGAATAACCATTTACATTTTGTAAAGGTCTCTTAGCAGAAAACATTTTATGCAAGTTTTGAAACAACTGAATAATACAAGGAATATTGTACGATTTAACTAGGGTAATGTAAAACATTAAAAAGGAGTACTCCAATGCAGTGAATAACTTTTTATATCGTTCATCGTCAGTCCGTTATTTCATTCATGCAATCTATAGCAATTCGTTTCCATGATGAGCGTAGATAGCAATTTAGGTTACTAAATACGTTTGATCGTTCGAGCAATTTCAAGGGTGCCAACGACGAGCTAATGACGCTACATCAGTTTAATGATTTATCACCATTTACAGAGCGACAATCGTCTCACAATGTTTGATGATGCACAATGTTGCATATTTTATCTGAAAGATCTGGTTAACCACGATACATAGATTCGATACATAGACAAAACAACCTGATCGAACACAAATTTGCTCCCAGTACCTGTAGCCAGTGTTGTTTATGAAATGCATTAAAATAAAACATTTTGAATTCACATAACAGTTTTCCTATCAAACTAGAACAGCCTACTTGCGCCGCACATTTAGCAAAATAGGAAATACTAACTTCATCCTCTAACTTTGTGCTAGTGAATCAGGGATTTTAATTACTTCATAAATATTTATTTCGCTAATGCAAAGCATTCTTCAAATCCATCTGGAATTGGTACGAAGTTTTAATTTGCAGACACAATATATATAGTTTATAATCCAATATTTTCGAGTCATCTGAATTAACAAACATTATGATGGCGTATGTACCCTGACATTAAATGATATAAAGAGTCAAACTCCATTTTCATTATATTTTTCCTCGGGCATAGTCCAGCTAGGCGGAAATAACAACCAAGAATACCCATAACTTTCTTGCTACTGATCTGAGATATAGATTCAAACATAAGTGAAAGTTTCGAAACTTATGATTTTCCAAGTTAGGTTGTGAAATACAACAAAATAAAGGAGTTTAAACTGTTGGTCCTTACCAAGATATACAATTTGTTAGGCAGTTGTGCAATATGACGCCACAGCCATCAAAGGTTAATCAAAATTTTCGCGATCGTCTTCATTCATACAGTGTGGAAAACAGTCGAAATTACAGCAGATTTGAGCTCGGCGTGTGCTTAAAGATATAAAACACGAATCGACCGACACTAATCGCTCCTTGTGGTTCGATGATTACAGATTAGTTCAACAGATTTTATCTTGGGGGCCGTGGCTTTACTTTTGTTTAACCATTCAAAATTCTCTTGTGTTTTGATCGGTTTTAAAGGGAGTTTTTATAATTTAATATTATGTTTAGACATTCGACCATTGAGGGCAAATCATGTTTCCCTTCATGACTTGCAACGAGTCGCATAAAACCGGTTTGATTTTTGTGTCATTGCGACATCGGAATTTCAGAGGCCCGCGAATTCTATTTCCTTTACTAAATCTACGCAAAAATGTGTGAAATGCAACATTATATAGCACAAAACACTTTGTTCTCACTTACCAAGTTATGCGCCAGCCTCTCTAAGTCTATTCTCTAACCCAACTCCAGCTTCTTTCACAGGAGTACAGTGTTTCGACAAAGCAAGATTTCTCAGAAACCAATATTTCAAATGTTTTTGGGAAATCTTTCGAAACCGCAAGATTCTGAGAAAAAATTGTTTTGTCTGATTATAAATTTTTTCTCGGAAAAAGTAGTCTGGGAAAATTAGAATGGACCCTGGAGTCAAAGACTTTGGACAACGGAATGCCTTCTGTGTGGTTAACATAATCTACTTGAAAAGGCTTTGATAGCCAATCAGGTTATCTTATTTCTCTTAACGTTTTCTTTTTCTTATCCCGTGCCTCACTTTATCGTGTTGTGTCGTATCTCTGTGATATTAATAAAACTGATATCATCGTTTGCTAACAAAAGAGTTTACAGTGACGACTACTAAGCACCCAGATAGCTTACTGATGCTTTCCTCGATCTCATTTCAAATTTTCTTCATATTGAAGTAGATTAAATACAAAAGATTGGGCAGCGCCGTCTCAGTTTTTTTGGATTGATGTCAGCGAATTCAGTACGATGTGGGTCTTCATGTAACATACGGTAATACGGTAATTGTATGTAACACAATGAACAGCCCACTGCCCAAGTCTACCCTCTTAACCAGGTGTAAAAGTGTAAACAAAACAAGGGTTAAGAGATGCTGTTTTCCTAGAAATATTATCTTGGTGTTTTTGTCGCTAATCAAAGAGCTTAATTCTTAGAAAAAGTTATTTCATTTAGAAATTAAATTTTTCTTGTTAGAGCTGATATGGAAAACGCAACGGACTTGACAGTTCATGATCCCCTGAAAGGTTTACTTTGTAGACCAGACCCTAATGCTTTTCTTTCGTCGGCACCATTATAGAAATAGCTCGTCGAAATTGACCATTGCTGTGCTTCTTGAAATTTTTGACCTTCAAGCGAAAAAAAAAAAAGAACAAAGAAACAAACTTTCTACAACTCGTGACGAAATATGAAAAAAAAGTTAAAACCAGTTTTTTTTTTGGAGTAGCTGACAAAAGTTGGCATTATACATTGGGAATCGCTACAAGCATGCACGATAGGCATTTAGTTTGTTCACGGATGACGGACTGAAGTCAGGAGTTGTTGTTCCTTTTTTTTTTCTTTTTTAACAGATAATAAACGTCGATTTGCCAATTAACCGTTTCAATTGCAAGATGTAAATTATCGATTCTTTACACTATCCGCCATGCATAATCATAATATTCACCCCCTGCAAAATTGGTGTTGAGCCAAGCAATATCCCCAATTGATAGATTTCTATGTTCTCACCACCTTTCTGTTGGAAAAAGTATCGATCGTAAGGAGAAATTCCTTTTTGGTCACTCCTGGGGTTGGATGGGTTAAGAGATGTCGTCAACAATTTTCTTTGTCATCAAATTCCCCTGAGAGTAGCTTTCTAGACTAACCACAATAGTACTCGTGTATGTTTCTTTTGATGTCATCTTTTTTATTCTTCAGTGCACTGTGATGGCCATTGGCCAACTTGTCTTATACTAAGAATTTCAATTAACAAATATTGCCTCCGCAGGACAAATAATAAATGAATTAATCTTTATGCCATTAGAAAACCTCAATTCGGCTCAAGGGGTCCTGACAGTTAGGATGCGTAATGATTTCGATGGCATAAATTACAAGTTCCCATTTTGATGCTCCCCTTATACTCTTTGACAAGAGGTAGATACCTGTTCTCCTAAGTGGGGAGTCTATCAGGTACAGTGCCTATCAGTTAACTTTGATGTAGTGAAGAATACTGCTAATTTTCATACTAAAGGTTATAAGTAAATATAGACCTAGCCTAGCCTCTAAAAACTTCGATTAAAGATATAGTTGTTGTGCTTTGTATATTTTGAAAGCTAACATTAAAATTTTGTTGTTTTCTTACGAGAAATGCAATCGCACGATGTTCGCAATCATCATCCAAATAAGAATTGCAATCCATAGTTTAATTTTGAACTAAGCCATTTGGAAACTAGAAAGCATCCAAGAAAAATAGTGTAATATATTTTTCTTTCAAAATTTTCTCTCCAGACATTATTTTGAAAGTAACAAAAATAATTTCCATGACAAGTATTGATCAAATACGATATCGCTCAAGGAATAGCAAATCATTTCCTACGTACCAGTCAATAGAAGTTACCTACATGTTCTTACGTTCTGTCGCCCTTACGGGGAACAAAACGGAGACTAAAAACGGATCTTAATTATCTACGGGTAACAGAGGTATCCACAAGCCTTTCCAAGTCTCGTCTTTGAAAGCTGAAGGAACGGATTTAAGCAGCAGTCCACTTAAAGTACTTTCCCTGTTTCGTATTAAGGATGTCTCACTCTCTGCGTCATCAGGAATATCCCAGTCACGCACACAACGTCACGCAACAAGTCAGTCACGCACACAACGTCAGCTGGCCAAAGGAAATTCTTTAGTTCGATATTGTTTGATGTTATCCAACTTTTCTTGCGGTATTTATAAAAGTTGTTTTTAAGTTCAAGATAAGCTATAAACAGAGTGCGACATTGCCGTCACCATCTAGACGGTGTTTCAACCCAACGACAAGAATGTAAATGTTCTAGCGCTTCCAATGACTTCTGCATATTTTTCATGATCTCTTTATGCCAAACTATTTGGGTCGGCTCAAACGGTGATTATTTGTAAACCGCTGTACAATATTACACACCTGAACTCAGATTTACTGGATGTCGTTTATTCTACATCCGTCTATCGGTTAGCTTGCTTCATGGTCAGCATCTGCACACTGAGTGCAACCTTCACCTCCCACCGTAATCTCTTCACCGCCTCGCACAATCCTAGTCGTGTAATATATGTGACCCTGCCCACACAGGTTCCAGACGTCTCTTTGATACCCTGGAAAATTTGCAAAACTTGGAGCTTCTTCAACTTGTAGAACAGGAAGTTTTACTTCAGTTCTTAGCGCATTGACGATCTTTTCCAACCATTCAATATCCAGAGAGTTATCTTCCCCTTGAAGGAACAAAGCAAACCGCTCGCGAGCCGATCGCAGCCGAGTTTTACCCATGTCGGACAAAGGAATCCGCCGCTGCAGAGCCTTACTCTGGGCCTCTAAAACATGACAGAAAAGAAAGATCTTTTTGGTTTGTTGATGAACTTGACTAAGCGTTTTTAAATCCAGTTGTGGTTTTTCAAGGTATTCTTTGATCTGCCCAAAGGCGTCTTCGATGTCTTTTAACAGTCCCCCTTCATCAACCTGGTTTTGCGATCCTGCTTGAAGTCTGCGAATATTTTCTAGCACTGGATACGCTTGCTGTACTTGCCTAAGTATCATCAAATGGTTCTTAAATGTGAAAATTAAAGAAACACGGCGTTCTGGCGTTCCACGCAAAGTAAGGGGGTTCCAATTCCATGGGATGGATCGTGCAAGACGAACAGTGTAATTTAGACGCAGTAGATCCTTTTCAATGAGGCTGATTGAATTTTTTACTTCCCTTTCAACCTCTTGTACTTGCTTCTTTACATCTTCAACATCGGTAAGCATCTTTTTGATAATTCTCCCGTAACGATAGCTGAATGTTATTGCCACGGTGCATTTTGGACACCTTCTTATGAGTTGAACGTCATCATCCGGGTGCGTGTCCATCCACCTGTCCATCTCGTTAACCTCTACAATATGATTGCAGTCCCATAGCTGTAGGAATCTTGCTGATTCCATTTTTTTACCGCGTCCACCAGCTAACAAAGAAGAGAACTTTTTGGGATGACAAACAGGACAGATAGTAGGACAGTTTTCACCGCATAAGCCGATGCACGGGTGGCGGCAAGATAGTTTTTTCGGGCAGGGAGCATTACAGCGAGGCCGGTCGCAGTCTTCTCCACAAAGACTATTACACTGGTAATGAGTGCAACTCCAGGTACAGGGTTGTTTACACGAATTACACGGCTTCGAACAGTGATTAGTACACATAGCATGAGGGCATCTTCGGCTACATTTTCTGTCACAGGGAGGACAAGGCTCACCACACCTGGCTTTACATCGATGTGAGCAAACAAGCAATCGACGGCATGGGTATTGGCACATTTCGTGTGAATCCCGTTGATGACAACCGCTACAAGTCCCTGAACACTGGTGGCCACAAGGCAAATATTCTTTACATGGAGCAGGGCATTCTACTTCATCAGCATTCTGGCTACAAGGCATCTTAACTTTATGACCACATGACAGTGTTTTTACCACAACCACCCCACAGGGATATTTGGAGCAGTCTTGACCGCAAACTCCCTGACATATATGTTTGCATGAACTCTTCCGACGCCCACAGTGTGCTGAACAGGTAGCAGTCCTACTTTCATGACATTTAAGTGCTTGTTCGTGATTGCAGGGAAAACGTTTTTCTACTCTTCTCATACACTGCATGTTTCCACAGTCTTCACTGCAAAGCCCCGGACATGGGTGGCCACAATCCAGAGTTTTCTCGCATTGCTTTCGGCATGTTGCAGTTATGGGGTTGGCGCTACAAGCCATTTTCAAAGAATGGTTACCAGCACAGTTAATACGTTTGAGTACCTTCTTTTGGCATTTGAGTAGATTACAGTCTTCAGAACATTTACCAGGACATTTATGTCCGCAAGACAAATATTTGATGCAGCTATTTGCACAAACGACCTTGGAAACATCTTCAGAGCATGGAAAATTCATTTTGTGAAATCCACAGGTCAGAAATTTAGGAACTATCACAGCACATTTGAAACCAGAGCAGTTCTCGCCACATTTTCCTGGACAAGGGTGTTTGCATGGAAGACAGCGTTCACAAGGAACTTCACAAAATGTCTCCTGTTGTTTATCTGAGCACTTCATCTCCTTTTCATGCCCACAAGCTAGTTTTCTTGTTACAGTCGTATCACAGGATTCGTTTCGAGGTTCATGTCTTAACTTGGCGCATGTCACAAGTTTCCTGTGGGAACAGGAAAGAGAAATTTCAACTTCCTTCTCGCAGAGATATTCTTCAGGCGTTCTGTAGCACGGAAGCGTTGCCTCGTGTCCGCAAGGTAGCTTTCGTTCCATCTTCACCATGCAGAAAATATCTTGTAGGTTGCC